AAAAAAAAAAAATGGACAAAACCATAACAAACAAATACTAAAACTTCAAATTAAAATAAAAACCGAAAAATATACTGAAAGAGAAATAAAAAATAAAGCTGAACAAAAAAAATACAAAACTATAACAAAAATATTAAAACCAACTCAAACTAAAATGAAAACTGGAATAGAAAAATAAAGCTGAACGAAAAAAATATATATAAAAAAACTAATTAAAAAAATGACAAACCCATAATAAAACTACTAATAAATGTTTAAACATTTTTTTAATAAAAAAAGACAAAAACGCATAAAACAACTAAAATTAAGATGAAAACTTAAAATGTAATAAATAAAAGCTACTTCATATTAATAAAAACATACAGGTACAGTAACAAAATCAGAGATGGCATAAAATGGTCAAAAACAGACAAATATGTAAGTAAATACGTAAATGCACAGTCATGCACAAAAAGTGCAAGTTACTCCAAATTAAATTAGAGACTGCTTTTCATCATCTTTCATCAAAATGTAATAACTTGCTCTCTGAAATGACTTTCTCTTTCAGAGGTCATTTATATACAGAAGTCTTAAAGGTACAGCAGCAAAATCAGAGATTGCATTATATGGTCATGAAAAACTAAAAAATTGATATTTTGCGGCAAGAATCTTTGACTTGCATGATAAGTAGACTTCAGGGAGAAATAAAAATGCTATAAAGTGCAGAAGGTGTAGAGAGAAATACAACATCATGGCATCTGTAAGTGCTGGTGCATTCTGCGGCTGTAATGCTGATCTATGAAAAACCGCATCCATAATTCAAGGAGCAGCATGCCAACCAAGTTACACTCGGCGTGGCATGAAAGCAGCGAGGCTTCAAAGGGATCAGGTGAGCGCTGGGAGAACGACTCCTACTGCTGAACTTCACAGAGAGAGCCTGACAGCGAACGCAACGGAGAACTCAACACAGCACGAGCACGACACACGCAAAGACGTGTAAAAGCCACAGCTCCAAACAGTCCAGCAAACAAACGCTGAAGGCTGTATGACTCAGAATCAGACTCAAATCCCAGCGCAGGAGGATGCTTGCGTTACAGATGACTGGATTTTATGCTTTGGCGAAGATAGCAGAGTCATTGCTCCTCTAGGATGCAATATACATCATTTATGAGTAGGGCTGAACGATTTTGGAAAATAATCTAATTGCGATTTTTTTTACCACTATTGCGATTGCGATTTAATATGCAATAATTTTTTTAAAGCACTTTATGTTCTGTATTATTCAACAAAGACAAGCTATAAATCATTGTATAGTATGACCAACGCACTATTAGATAGATTAAACATAAATGTTCTTTTCTGTAGGCCAGGCCTATATGTTACGATGAAATTAGGTGATGCATGAATTGATATGAATGACATTTTTATTTAACAACTACAATCACAGTATATTGACTGATTTGTTGAACTTCCAACCTTGTAAGCATGTAATAATTATGTTTAAATAAGCCTGGTGTAAACATTAATATGAAAGTCAGTAACAAATCACACAAACTAAAGTAGATTGCAGAAATATAAAAACAAATCTGTTGCTTTACCACACTACTTTAGGTAATTCACAGTCACTGTAATAAACATATGTAAACATGTGGATTGCACTAAACACTGTCTATTAACTTTAGACCAGTGGTTCTCAAACTTTTTTGGTTCCGCCCCCCTCAGACTACCAAATAATTTCATTAAACATTATGAAAAATTTAAAAAAAAAATTTATTTAAAGGGGTCATATGATGCGATTTCAAGTTTTCCTCTCTAACCTTTCCTTTCCATTCCGTTCTAACACGCCCCCACATATCTACCTCACTATGTGGAAATATTTGCATAATGCCGCCCAAATGTGCACGCAAAGAAAGAAGGCGTGGTTTCAGTAACCGCAGTTAGTGTTGAAGCAGCATGTCAGGGAGAC